AACTTAAATGGTAGCAGTGTTGTTACAAATCCTCTGATAGTATTGAGAACTTAAATGGTACCATTGTTGTTACAAATCCTCTGTTAGTATTGAGAACTTAAATGGTACCAGTGTTGTTACAAATCCTCCGATAGTATTGAGAACTTAAATGGTAGCAGTGTTGTTACAAATCCTCTGATAGTATTGAGAACTTAAATGGTAACCAGTGTTGTTACAAATCCTCTGTTAGCATTGAGAACTTAAATGGTAGCAGTGTTGTTACAAATCCTCTGATACTATTGAGAATTTAAATGGTAGCAGTGTTGTTACAAATCCTCTGATAGTATTGAGAACTTAAATGGTAGCAGTGTTGTTACAAATCCCCTAACAAGACGTTACAATATACCAGTCAGATACTCCCAATTAATAAAGTATTTAACTGAATAAATAGAGTTGTTTAAACATTTGTTTAACATCAAGTAAAAGCTTGGAATGGTCTATTATTTCACTGAGGTGTTTGTCTGTGAGCCAGCTTTCACTTGTTGTTAAACAACTCTATTTATTCAATTACGTACCAGCTGCCCAGTGTTGGCTAACAATACGAAGAATTAAATTGTAGCGAAATGTTACAAGTTCTTCAAATACCTATAGAATGATAGATTTCTTTTTTGTGAGTGTAAAACACTTAAATACACCAGTTCGATTACTCTTAAATTGTTTTGACAGTAAAACCACCATATTCCTCAAATAGTTTGTAGCATCATAGCAGCACATTTTATAAAGAACTGTAAAAACATGCCGGTAATTTCTATTACACAAGCTTCACATTTAATAATGTAGGTAGCAGATTATAAGAAATGACTAAACAATGTTATAAATTGTTACTATCTGAAAAGGAAATTCAGTTAGTTGAAACATGAGAATAGACAAATTCTCAGGATAGAGTTAACATAAAATAAAGGTGAAAAGTATCCACTCTTGAATTATCTTGGACCATTCTCTCTTGATAAATTGTTCTGATCAACCAGTCCAGCACTTAAGACTAGCTAATACAACAAGCTTCCTGTTCTTGAACCTCAGGGCCAAGGTTAAGTTTGCACACACAACTGGTTTTAGAGTTGTGTAAAGTGTAAAGCCAAACAAGGGTGCCTCACTCATGAGGAACTTAACTGATAAAATCAATTATGTTTATAAAATACAATTGTTTCATATATTAGTAAAATATAGTAATTTTTAGCCATGTTATAGCAGCTCATAGAATGGCTCTGAATTGTTTTTCAAATACAAACTTTTAGCTCATATTTCCAACATCTCTTGAATGATTTGAGATCTAATTACAGTTTTGGACTCAGGAGGTCAAACGTTTTCTATTGATGTATTTGACCAAGGTCTCCTAGATTAATTTACTCTAATCCTGCCTAAAATAATTTCAAATGCCATGGCTAATGAGGACTCCCTAGGTTTTAACAGGAGTTTCCAATTTTAAACTTTCCCCAATATACAGCAGAGCCCACACACTTCTCATAATGAAAAACCACCATTCTACTTGTATAGAAGGTCAATACACATAGAACCAGCCATGTTCACACTCTGAATGTTACCTTTTACATACAGTAAGAGTGAGAGTACTAAGATGTACATTTCCTTGACAAAATACATTATACAAGAGTGAAAATAGATCATGCTGAAAATATCTGGAGATTAATAGCAAGCACAGCTAAGTCCATGATTGGCAACATAGTCTGGAGGAAGGGATGATGGATAATAAAAAGTAGATTATTTTTTTAAGGAAATCTAAAGCATTTCAACTTAATATGTAGAAGTTCAAACAGAATTAAATTTGATGAATAAATGTCAAATGGCTTTTTAATTAATAATAAATTCCAGGTACTGCATGTTGGATATCATAGTTATAGTTTTAATGGGAATAACCTTAACAGTATTGTGGAAGAAAAGGATCTGGGTGTTTTAGCAGATCAGTCTCGTAAATCATTCAAGCAATGTGCTATTGCTAGTGTCAGGACAAACAGGATTTTAAGTTGTATCTTAAGAAATAGTGAATAAAAGTCTAAAGAAGTTATTATGTCATTGGTTAGGCCATATTTGCAATTGGAGTGTTGTGTTCAGTCTTGGGCTCCATACCTTATGAAGGACATTGAATTATTGGAAAGGGTTCAGAGGAACTACTAGGATGATACCTTGATACCTGGGATGGAAAGGATGTCATACAAGGACAGGTTAAAACCTCCGATATTGGTTTCTCTTGAGAAGAAAGGAGTTAATGAGGATCTGATTGAGGTGTTTAAGATTGTTAAGGGAATTGATAATGTTGATGTATCATTTTTTTATACTTAATGGTAAGAATGGTAGGACAATGAGAATACAAATATAAATTTTGACAGGGTAGAGTCATCTCCAGCTAAGACATCTTTATTTTTTTGACAGATGTGGTGGATGCACATACTTCAAGGGAATGTAAGGAAGGTTTGATATATATTTGAAATGATAAGGGCTGGTTTAGTTTCCCTTGGTGGATGCACATACTTCAAGGGAATGTAAGGAAGGTTTGATATATATTTGAAATGATAAGGGCTGGTTTAGTTTCCCTTGGTGGATGCACATACTTCAAGGGAATGTAAGGAAGGTTTGATATATATTTGAAATGATAAGGGCTGGTTTAGTTTCCCTTGGTGGATGCACATACTTCAAGGGAATGTAAGGAAGGTTTGATATAT